TATCTAGAGTTAAATATTTTGAAATTCCACGTAGGACTCCCAGAAGAGTATCTTAGAGGATTTCAACTGATTGTTTTTATTTTCTGAGACTTTTTAATAACTGAGTCAATGTCAGAAAACTGGAGCAGTACCAATATTCTTTTGCTGTTATTCAAAAGGTCACGCAAGATGAGCTAGGGAACAGAAGGACAAATGGTCTGACGTCAATCCAAACACACAGAACTGAAACAGATAAGATGCTTCATTTTTATAAGGTATTATTCATACTGTAACACAGCTATAGGATCATTCCTTCCATCAGCCTGATATCTTCCCAGGAGATCTCCATTTCAAAATGCCTGACAGCCCCAGGCTTAAGGCAGTTTCTTGGAAGGTAGGAAAACTTTCTTCTTACCAGGCTGAGAGAGGAATCTGGGCTCTTTTCATGTACCCCAAGTAGGCATGCTAGCACTCAGACATACAGGAGAACCACCCCTTACTTGAGTATCTCAAGCCAGCTTTCCTATGTGTGCAGTAAAAATAATTTGGATGTGTCAGAAAATTTCATTATAACTGAAAATATTTTCCATATTTTTATATATTAATATTATCTGATTTATGAGTTTGGATATAAGAATAATAGCTGGTAATACCTATTTCAGAAAATCCTGCCCTAAAATTGATCAGTAAAGGTTCTTGCAATTACTATGTGTTTTCTTATTCAAAGCAATTTCTAAGAAAATTTTAATATGAAAATTTCTGAGTCCTTCCACATCCAGGCTGCACAGTTGGTGTGCTCATCTCACCTTTAGGCAGCTGTAGTATTGTTCAATAACAGCACATCCTGCTTCCACACTCACCAGCCATGGAAGAAAGTATAAATAAATCCGTTTATTAGCATGTCTGCAAATGTGTGCACACACAGGTACACTACACACACCAGCACAGCTTCCTCTTGCTACGTTGTTCTTTGCATTCCTTAGCTGTGCAAAGGCAAGCAATGTAAGTACAGGTGCTTGGCAATCTAATTTAAGTTATTCTTTGTTTCTTGAGTTACACAAATTACATTACAGCTTTTCAATCTCATGTTACAGTAATACTATATTGAAATATATTGTAAATTAAATTACTGCCATTTATTTAATTCAGGAAGTTCCATACTGGCAGAGCACATTGCAGAAGGGATCCAGGCTCAAAACCCAATTATGGAAGATGTTTAGAAAATTGTAAATTACTTAAATATTTTTAAGTAATTTTAAGTAATTCTATCATGTTGCTTATCCGGTTCACTTTAAAGAATCACTTAATTACCCTGAGAAAAAGTAAAAGGCAAATTTTCTAGAAAAAAAGTCCCAGTAGCACTAATAGTTGTGTCATCTCAAAATAAACTACATTTAACATTGACCAGTAATTAATGTTATAGAGGTGAAGCTGTCTAGAGGTCCAGATCGACAATGTTTGCATTAGTTCTTTATAGAGTTATGTCACAAGACTGAAACTCGGGCTTCAGCTTTTGAGCTAAACTAGGTGTTTAAATGAATTTTCATAAGCCTCTGGGCTCTCAATTTGCCTCGAAATCAAAGAAACTTAGGGGCATATCTAAACTTTGAGTGTATTTTGACCGTTGTTGCATTTTTTAATACACAAGGGCAACATTTTTATAAGCACTTAAATAAGTTAGAATTATAAGTCCCATGACTTTAAACCCAGATGGGAACCAAAAAATTTATGGTTTTTTGGCTTCTGAAAGGTCTTTCTATTCAAAGTAATTTCTGATTACAAGAACAGATCCTGCTGTCGGACTATAAGGTCACTGGTCCTTTATTTGAATTTATGCCTTATAACTGTAAGGATCTAGACCTTTCCAAAGGTGGAAGCAAAACATTTGTGTAAATTTGTGAATCTGAATATTATTACAATCACCAAACTGTTATACTCTGTTTATGATCAGAACCAGTAGAAATCATAATAAAAAGTTGCTTTATTCAAAACACACCTGGAAAAGTAATTCTAAGAGCTTTTTTATTGTCTTGTTAAAGTAATGATTTTCAGCCACTCTGTACACATGAAACATTGAAAATAGACATAATTTCTTAATGAAAAATGTAGTAAAAGGAAAGCAGATTGCTACCTGTGTACACACAATGTGAGATTTTTAATCTCCCATTTTAGGTCTCTCTTTGGCAATATTGTCTCACTGCCTCCTGAAAGAAAAGCTCTCAAGTGCCACTAGAGAGCAATGCCAAATAACTTCACTCTCCCTGCCTCATGAGCAGAGCTGTCACTTCCCTCGGGGTGTCATTGTGGGGTCAATCCACCCTAAAGCAAAGCTTTACCTGCAGACAGCTCCCACCTCTGCCACCTGGAACAGTGGTGGTGGCTTATGGCTTCTGCTCCCTGTAGGAGCTGTGAGATTGGTACCTGGCAGCCTCCTTGGATCAAAGCATAATTTGAAGTTTCTCCAAGAAAAAGGAATTTTGAAACAGCCCAGCACCTTTTTCTATCATTCCCTGTGCCTTACTATTCCCCAGAAGCTGGGGAAACGCTGCAATTGCTTTATGCTGCATCCCCTGGGCTCTACATCTATATCTCACATCTGCCTCGTCAGCAAGAACAGCAGACCCATAATTCCTATTTGCATCCCTCTGTCCTCACTGTCTCTTTCCCTCTCTCCAGAGAGCCCATTTAATAGTGCAGAGCTCCTTTGATCTCTGTATTCCCAGCTTGAACAAAACAGCTGTAACTCTGCAACTGCATCTCCTGTTCCTCCAAGAGCACATCCACATCATTTTCCTGTCTCTCTTGTGAACATGTCTAGTCAGAGAAGATCAATATGTGAGACAGAATCACTTATAAGCTCATATACCATTACCACTTCCCCCCATAATCAATCCCAGAAGCAAAAGTCATGAAAGTCTGAGACACAGCAGTGGAGAGAACCAGTTCTTACAAACCCAGCCTCACTTTATATTAATGAGGCATTCTGGCTTTGTTAACTTTGGCTGTGAAAGGACATTGTTGTAAAAAAGCCTCTGAAAGATCCAGCCAGAGCCAATGCCTTGCACTAGTGTGCAAAATCTTTATCACATGCCTTTATTTTTCATAAAGATGCATCTGTGCACACAATGGTAAAGGTGGAAATACAATTAGAAAGCAGGGTCTTTGGCATAGATTTAAGTGAACCCTCATATGACTTGAAGAGGTCAGTAGGTGGTGGCTCTATGTGAGTGACATCTATGATCATCTGTTTAAAATGTCTTTGGTAGGGAAGGATAAAAAAGAAAACACTCAATGAGTAGAGTGTCCTGCATTTGTTTGTTATTTGGAAGTACCAGAAGTAAGGAACTCAGCTTCTGACCAATAGGCTGAAAACTTGTTTGCTACTTGGGGAAAAAATAAAACAAGAAAATGAAAGAAAAGAGACCAGTTGCTGTATATCACCAGTTTGCTCTCTTTCAGACATCAGAATATTATTAATTTTGTGTGAATGAAGTTTAATCATCATGACAACACTAAGGTCTAGGAAGTAGTACACATGCAAAATTTGTGAAGATGAATATAATACAAACAGGATATTTATATATTGCTTTTAAACCATAAAAGTCCATTTTTGATAAATATCCCTGTCTCCTGTAGTCATTTATTTCCTACAAGAATTGTTTACCTAAAGTTCACTGTAAACCTCAAAAAAGCAGAGAAATTAGTTGAAATCTCTTCTGATTAAAATAATATTATTTTTAAAATGTTTTTTCTCCAAGGGAAAGATAAACAGTTTCCCAAATGAATACCTTCCCCCCCACCAGCATAATGTACTAACTCCCATGGAGAATTAAACTCAGGACCTTCAGAACAGATGGCAAAGGCCTTATCTGCTTTCCTATCACAGCATGAGGCAATATAGGTTTGCCTGATAATGCACTCACAATGAGAAAAAGGTTTATTGACCCCTCTTAATATATTTACACCCACCAAACAAATGGTTTTTTTAAATTTAATCTAGAAGTTTTGACTTTTGCAAGTCAAGTTAATTTGCAAAATCTATGCCAAGTATTAAACCTGAGATACTAAAGAAACTGTTTTCATTTTAGTGCTATTCCAGCTGTACATTTTTCAAATCTCTGGCACATTTTATTCTCTGTCTTTTAATTAAATACAGTTAATTTTCATAATTTATTTTAATAACTTCAGTGATAAATTTTCTATGCATTTCACATCTTCCTTCCACATTTGTCCTTAAATTATACCATAGCTTTGACACTGCTTTGGCCTGTGCTATATAATGAGCTCATAGTGGTTTAGCAGACGAGTAAGCTCAGTTCTGACACTGCATGAGTCCTTTTGCTATATCCATTTGTCAGCTGCCCACCTACAAAATTCTTACAGCAAAAAAACCCCAATAAAATATTTCCTCTAAACTATGAAAAATATGTAGGCATCAGACAAAAACCAGCTGCTCTCCTGAAGTCCTTTTCTTTTTCACTAAGCAGTCTATGCCTAGTTAATATTCAATTCCTGAAAGTTTCAGCTTTTATTTGAATTCAACAGTCATAAAATTTGACACTGTTTTGCATATTATTGTGTTAGTCAAGGTTATATTAAAAATTATTTTCAATTTTTAGTGGTTTGAAAATGCAACAAAATTAAGTTTAGGGTGATCTGTAAACAAGGGAAAAAATGGTGAAAATGTTTTGAAGTAGGGAATAAAAATCAGCACCTGATGGAAGCAGATCTGATAGCCATTGGGGTGGTGAAGGATATGTTGATGGACTCCCTATGGTTTCTTCTAAAAAGATATTTATTTACACAGTTGTTTCTTTTCTTAGGATCCCTGTTGGAAGGAACAGGGAACCAGAAAGATACACACCTTCTTTACAAGGAAAAGAAAAAGAAAGACAAAATAAACTCTCGAAATGTTGACTCACTATTACTTCTAAACCCAGTATTTTTGCTGTTTGGATTACAGCAATAGAAGCTGAGGTTACAAAGCTTGTCTTAATTAACTCACACATGTTCTTTCACAGAATGGTAACTACAATGGGACAATCCAGCCGTTTACCAACAAATGAACAGAACTTACAGAAGTGTACATGAATAGGTGAGACTGACTATGGTTATAATCTCCCCATAGAAACATTGTCAGTGCAACAAAATAATTCTGTCATTATCTGGAAAGAGATGAAGGTCTTGCTTACCTGTAGAAATACTATTGTTCTTCTTATGACCTAGATAGCTCAGAGTTCCCTGCAGCTACCCTGACTCTGTACCAAACAATATCCATGTCTCCTTCCTACACTGCTGTTGTACTGACATATCCTGGCTGCAAGGAGCCCTGCCTTTGTCACAGGTGATGGAATCCTCACTACTTCCTTGTACAGTCAGTGGGATTTCACACTCCATTAGAGGCTAACATGCACACTTACACAAGGAGTAAAGACTGAGCAAAGCACAGTAATACCAAAAGCTAAAGCATGTCCCAAAAGAGGTTTCTGTAAGTGCCTTTTATCAAAGTGTTCAATGCTCACGCATTCTTTAGAATCAGCAATTTAATTCCGGAGTTTATTAACATGGTTTTGTCCTGATTAATATGGTTTTTAGTTTTAAGAACTAAATACCTTGAAAATACTAAGCAGTTTAGCAAAATATCTTTAGCCAGTTGTTGCAGTCGTCTACCTCTAGGAAAATGTAGTGTTTCCACATTACCTAAACACCTTGATTGGACTGAGCAAAGGCATCTGGAAAACAGTTAGCAAAGCTGCTGAGGAAAGGAGGCTTTCAGCCCACGTCTTACCTTATTGCTTCTGGGAGAATATTTTTCTAGTGTTTGGTGCTTGGGTGCAATCTGTGAGGAAAGTAATAAAAAAGGGAAAGGAAAAGTGGAAAAAAAAGAGAAAGAAAGGTAGAAGTTCAAACAGTATCATAAACAGCAGCCTGCCACATTGCTAGTTTTTCAAATATTTTTAGAGTATCTGTGATGATTTATGATTAATATCTTTACATGGGAAAAAGTATTAGCACAGACTGCCTACATGGTACATCCAGGCAAAGCAAAGTTATTTTTAGTTAAGACATAATTTTTATATCTTGCTGTTTGGATGAATGTCGTCTTTGGTCTTTGTATTAGTGTTTGGTCCACCCTAAATACTACAAGTATTTTCCTCTTTGTGAAGTTTCTATTGTGTTCTTCCACAATAGAAAGGAAATGGGGGAAGAAAGAGAAAGAAGGCTGGCCACAAGGCTGACCACAATGGGACTGGCCATGCTTTCAGTTGAGACACTAACACTTAGAGATGGAAAACTTCTTGGCAAGATTATTTCCCCTTGTGTAATTTCAAAATGGAAGTTCTTGAGGATATCTCTTGTATATGTACTAGAGGGGGTGATATTGAGGAAAAAGAAAAGAAAATATTTCGCAAGTAACAAAACCCTACTTTCAAAGCATGCATGCATGTTCATTAGCAGAACAGTGGAATCTTTAACATCTCTAACCAATATTTTATAATATTCCTTAATTTTTTGCCCTGCATGCACAGATTTTGTTTGACACTTCCAAATTCTGATCCTGTATTTTCCTAACTTCACCAGAGGAGAGCCTTAATACATACTTGCATCTTCCTCTGAACATTATTTTCCCACTTCTTTTAAATATTAAGAAATTGCCTCCAATTATAAAGATTCTATAATACAGATTAAAAAGAAAAAAACACCATTAGAAAATTGCAGAATTGAAGGCCAGAATGACTCTTCAGCTCTTTCAAAACTATGTATTCATCCTCCTTTGTTTTTTCCCTTGTGATCAGAAACCAGCACAGGAAAGCATCCTCAGGTAATATATGCTCCTTGTAGCTAAATTAAACTTGCCTTCTCTTTTCATCTTTTGTAAATGCAGCAAAAGGTTACCAGAAAACCTGTTCAGTAAATACAACTATAAATACTTTTACAGCCCTGTAACATGAGCACCTTCACTGCACTGCCTGGTGAGGGATGCACTGGGGCCGGCAGGAGTACAGCCTGACGCAGGACACCAGAGTCAGACAGTCAAGAACAGAAAATTGGATTTTTACAACCCATTGGTATCTCACCACCACCTTCTTCCAGGTGAGCAAAACTGGCAAGTGAGCTATTCAGGATTAGATCTGTAGCATGGTGCAAGTAAAATTGTTCTGCTGGTGACTGAGTTTTCCTCAGGAACATGTTCAAAATGACAAAGAAGAAAAAGGAAGCACATTGAGGCCAAGCACCAGTCTTGAACAGTTGCACAGCTGACACAACAGTATGCTCAAGGGGAAAATGGTTTAGACAGGAGGCTCTCCAGCATGCAGCAACAGGCCAGATCTGTCTGCAATAAAGGCTCTGGAGCATCCATATGGCTAAGAAATGAAAATTATTATAATGACAAATACATATTCTCTTTCACCTATGGGCATAGTAAAGGACAGCAAGAAATGAGGAGGCTTATTTCATTTTATAGTTTAAAAAAGTCATTTTACAAGTCCGTGTAACTGGACAATACTAGCACTCTGTGAGTAAAAGCATCTGGAATACAATGAAACTTGTAATATTATTAAAACTTGTGCTAATTACTGCATAAATTGTGATACTATTCTTATGACTGCCTGAGTAAAATTTTTATAGTCATTCTCGAAAGCACTTTGCATCAGAAACATTACTCTTCCTTATCCACAAATTTTACAGATATATCAGTTTTGCAGATGAAATTTGAGAACTTAAACTGCATTAAATCAGTAACATGCCAAATATCTATTTGTCATTTTGATTATGTCATGGTTAGTAAGTACAATATTTCTAGACCCTATTGTGTTTATTAAAAGTACTTTGACTTCAAATGGGGTTCTCTTCCTTCCCTTTATCTACTTATCCAAATGCCATGAATTCAATGAAGTTGACCTTTAATATATATATGTCTTACTCATCTAAAAGCCTCAGTATCTGCTCAGCTGTAAGGTATTTTTGGAAAATAAGAGGCTTCATCAGAGCCTGGCATAACTATCATCCAGGAAGCTACTCCTTTTGTATGTTCCATTCTTTTAATAGAGAATAAATAAAATGTATCAAGCTAACAGTTGCTGAATGGAACAAATGAAACATCTGCCTTTGTGACAGAATTATATTTTTAGAAGTTGTGTCTTCAGCATTGTTTTCTGTGGCCATAACAGACTTGGCTGAAAAGGGGAGAAGGATATGGGTTGATCACCTCTAGGGTGATCAGCAGCCTGGCCAATCAACAAACCACTTGAGGCCCCTGCTATACTTTTTAATTAGAAGGACACCAGTAACTATGGGGCATGGTTACTATTTCTCCTCCTCCTCCTCTTAGAACAGCTGTGAGGAGGCTTATTTTAAGGACCCAGTCCCACAGAAACCAAAGACAAAGCAAAAACTTGATTTCCTTTTTCTTTCTTACTTTTTTTCATGTGGACCACTGTGTTCATTCTCCAAGTATCTAAGAATGCCAGGGATATAAGAAATAGTAAATTTTTTTCTGATCAAAGAAATCAGAATCAGATCACTTTTTTCCAGTCAAGTGAAAGTGAGAACTCAGCTCTAATCAAGTTTTTTAAGGGAGAACAGAATATCATGTGTCCACAACAGATACAATATTTCTTTTTCAATTATATTTATGAATGGCCTCTGCTCCATGTATTAGAGTACTCCCCACAGATCAAACCCCCAATCATGTATATGTCTCTGTCAATTTCTCTCACTGTTTACAATTCTCCCCATAAGTGAGGAAGATTGTATTATTTTTAGTCTGCAGAGGATCACTCTCCCACAGATGCTGTTATCTCAAAAGTTATGTAGATTATGGGCTGCATTTTCACATTAAAAAATAAGTTGAACATCTGATCACCTGTCTGCATCATCTGTACTCAAAAATTTCTTGAAGCTAAGATCTCAACTCTAATAGTTTATCAAAAATCAAAGTGAAATGTACCTCAGTTTTTGTGAGTGTTTATTGTGAGAGCTCTAGCTTTTACTACCCAAAAGCAACTTAGTGTACAAATTTTCCCCAAATCTGAACTACTTTATCATAGTCTTCATAAAGACTCCAAAACAATATTTTGACTGAGTTGCTCTACAATGCAACTGCTGACCAAATTATGCCAGGCCATTATTTCATATGGGCAACAGAAGTGAATGTGTGACTCTCCTTTTGGTTGACTTCTAAAATCTCCAAGATGAACATGTTAATAATTAAAATATTACCTTTTTTAGGTCCTCTACAACTGTGGTACAAGTCCAACTGTCCTGGAAAGGTATATGTGACTCACACCACAGCTGCTGGCTCACAGCAGGGATTTTCTCCTCTTGAAGTTCATTTCCAGGACCAGATTAAGAAGCAGTAGCCTACAACAGGGAGATTTGCTATCCCTATTCCCAGTCATTCTGCTTCTCTGCACTTTGCTGTAACTTTATAGAGAATAAAAATAAAAAATCATATAAACATATAGAATCACAGAATGGCCTGAGTTGGATGGGACCTTAGAGATCACCTAGTTCCAACCCTCCACACCTGTGGAGAGGGATGCTGCTCACTAGGTCATAAAATAAAATACATCATAAAAATAAAAACTGAGAAGTACATTATGTTAGCAGTTGTTGGCTCAGTGGGCTCTTCAGTGGATACACTGAATAGACAGAATCTCTTAAAAATATATTATTCCCTGAAACTGTTGGGTTTTGTGCATGCAGCATACTGTAATCAATCCAAGCCACTTCAATGTTTATTGTGTTAGCTATAATGATATGACAAGCAAAGTGCAAGTCCATTGTACACTAGCAGTTCACAGCCAGTATTGGTTATCTCAGAACGAGAGAGCTGTGTCTGGTAAGCCTGCATGAGGGGAAACAAACATCTCTAATACAACTTTTGGCAATGAATTTAGTATGGAAATGCATTCTAAATTGCATTTATAATGATGGAAATTCCTGCTTACAATGACATATTGTGCAGAGAAGCACATATTCCAGCTGCCTGGGCAACATGAGGACTCTCCATGCTGAGCAGAGTGGAAGGTCATACTACAGCTCCTTTCTGCAGCCAGGAGCCCAGCTGTTGTGCACCAACTTTGATGAAACATGGCAAATTTGTTTTGTTTTGCTTGTTTTATTTGACAAAAATAAATGCAAAGTTGTTCTGTGGGGCTCCCATCACATGGGATTTTTCAGAGTTACCTGTGTAAAATCTGTTTTTATTGTGAGAGTGAGCCACTGAGGCATGAGCTCAGGATTAGTTTTGGCACTCAGGGAGAGGACAGAGCTTTTTGCAGCAGTACGTGGCCAGGTAGGCCTGGTGGCTAAGGATGGGCTGCTGACAGGTAACTGAAGGCTCAGACACGTCTGCACTGACAGCTGAGCTGAAACACTGAGGGAGAAGGCAAAGCAAGGTTACTGCCAGAGGTGAAAGGGCTCGTCTATGCACCCCAGCAGAGCAAGTCAAGAGCACAGCCCGAGGGCAGGCAAGGGGGAAAATAGGCACAACACTGGGAACTGCTAAAGAAGTGTACATGAGCATGAAGCAAAGCCAGCCCAGTGGGCCACAGCAGGAGCTGGATAGAAATGGACCCTACACATGGGGCTACAGGTGACAGAACAGGGGGCACAGCCCAAGACATTTGCCAGGTGACCCCCGGTGTCTGCCTGTCAGTGCTGTGGCTTTGGGGCAGAAGCCTTTGTTAACTGGGGGTTTTGGAGCCCCAGTAACTATTAGCTTTTGCCCAGTTTTTTCCTTCCTCATGCGCATAGAGACTTGTCACAAAGTGACACTGTTAGAACAGTGTTGCAGAAAAGCAGAAGTTGGAGCTTCTCACTGACTGCAATTCACTGTAATTTCATATACTGTAAAATATAAAACTTACAATCACCAAGTCTCATACCTAAGTACAGATAATATCTTTGAGAAATGTCATTATAAATTTAAAAAGTCTCTTATAAGCAAAAACTGGGATCATATGACATTGCCTCTGGAGTTGCACAGGATGTAAACACACAGATAGTATTTTCTTATGTGTGTATATGGCAGTTCTTTGTATTCTATTTCTATGATTGAAATTTCTTTTATAGCAATATTGTTTCCATCTGTCTTTCTATCTTCTAATCTAAAATAACTGCTATTTTGAAATTATTTTTCAGTAAACTATAATATTTCCAAAGGCTAGAACTTGAATATTTCATAACCATTACACAATAGTGCCATACACACACAATTCACTGAAGAGATTTGATAGACATCACAGCTATAAAATTCATACCCCTTACTTATTAGTGGGTCAACTTATTCTTTGACACCCTGCTGAGCTTCTCAGGCTATGTGTTTATATATAGATCTTCCTTTTGTATCCAGCTCAGTCTCCCATACAGTAGCAAAGCAGACAGATAAAGCTGGTGTATTTTTCAAAACAACAATGGAAATAGCACTATATAGAACTGGGTTTCTGCATTCATCCCGGAAAGCTCAACGAGAAATAGTCAATTTTCAATAATGCCATTGGGTTCCTACTCAATCTATGCAGCTGCATGAAATCTGTGTGAATTGCCTGAAGCAGCAAAATCTGCTTCAACCTCCTATTCAACCTCCATTTTTAATTTGGATTCTTTCAACCCTGAATTTGTGAACTGTAGTGCTATCTTCATTTCATCAAGTCTCATATTTTATCATTATAGAGTTCCAAGCTCTTGAGACACACAGTTTCATTTCCAGATTAATTAAGAAAAAGAAATTACTAGGACATAATTCCTCTCCTTCCACAAGACTTGTGGAAGAGGTTTGAAAACATTCATCATAGTCAGCTTTCATAAGCTAAGCTGTTCCCTAAAATCCTTTGATATCAGAGCAATTGCAGCAGCAGAACGAATGAACCAAATGGAAAACCATACCCTGTTCAGAATTCATGATGCCCTCAGGACCAAATGGAATATTCAGACCCATGTCTGTAAGGGGGGGAGATGGTATCCTTGACGGAAGGACAGAACTTTACTGCACTGGTCATTATCACAACAAGTGGAATCATTAACCATGCAAACAATTTTTTCTGAATGCGCATGTAAAGACAGTATCATGCAATTACACATTTTCACCCACTAAAGAACAGTCTTGTCTTCCATTGAGAAGAGCTTTTCCATGCTTGTATTTTTAGCTTTATTAGTAGGGTAGTATTTCAAAACTATTTAGTTCTTTCTTTTCTGCAATGGAGTTTAGAAGAAAGTAATGGTAATATCAGAATCTGAAACCAGCATCATTTTCAGGAGTTATGTTTCAGTTATCTTTCACTTAAACATCTGCAAACTGAAAAGCAAAATTTTCTTAATTTTGAGATCTGAATTCTAAGATAGAGGAAAAACATTACTTGCTTTTTGTCTTTGTAATAGGTTTTAAATTTCTGCTGGAATGTTCAATATATAATTGCTGTTTTACAGATCAACACTGCAAGGGCAACTGTCACTATACACCGACTTATTTTCATTCTGTGAAGATGGGAAGGGGAATCCAAAATACAAAGGAGAAAGGAGTTAGGAAAAAGTCTGACCCTATAGAAGAAAAACTTCTGTTTTTCAAAGGATATCCCTTATGCTGACAGTCTGCAGTAGTTTGATCTTGCTAGTGTCAAGTCAAGTGAACCAAGCTGGCCAAAGAAAACGCAGCTGATATCATATTTTAGCAGGTCATCGAGCTTTTGGGGGTGAAAAGGAGAGAGGCCGTGAAGCTAATCCAGATGAGATACCTAATCTTTTGTTTATGTTCCACTGTGATAATGTAGTTTCAGAGTAACAGTAATAATGAAAAGCAAGGAAGTTGAAAAAAAGTGGAAGGACAGAAAAAAAGGGGGTGGCAGAATTATTTGATTGTCATTTTGTTTTGGCAGATAACAATACAAAGTTCAAAGGGTATGAATCCTAATAAAAGTTTCTAAAACAATGAACTTTTGATACCAATGGTCATGTGTTGAAGGACATACTAAGTAGTGTTAAAAGGGTGTTCAAATAAGAATGCCCCTTGCTATAAGTGAAGTAACAAAAAATGGCAAGAATGTCAAAGGAAAATGGTTATTTTGTTCTTATCTGAATAGAAAGTGTAAATCATTTTCTCCCTGTCACCCTGATGATTTTAACCTTCAGTTTTTCCAACTCAACAGAAATTTTAAGGCAAGATTCAGAAAATGCACCCACGACCAGTATATTACTATAGCAGAAAGAATGCCATAATATGTCAGATTTTGAAAAATTCAATAGCAGATTTTTTTTGAGAATAAGAATTTCTGTGCATAGCAACCTTTCTCTAATGTCATGCTATGGAATTGCCCATTTTGTACATCGTGTCAAATATTTTCTACAGATATTAATTTACTCTGTTTTCATAAAAATTACTTTAAAAGAATCTTATGAACTTCTCTTTTATTAGGGGTAAAAGAACAGCTGTCATTCTGGATCTCTGTAAGCCAAGTCAGTTCTTTTGAGCAAACGCTACATTTTCATTACTCTTTTGAAAGAGGAAGAAAAGAATACTCATTTATAGATAAAATTACTTAAAGAATGATACATACATTTATTAACAGCCTCTTATGAAATGTAAGTTGATTTTGAAAATCCAGGTTTTCTGAAATTTCCATTTAATTTAATTTTTAGAAGCAGCACAGCATTCTGTACAAAACATCTGACAGAATGAGGAAAAACTGGGTGTTCACTGTTCAGTCAATGAGGTCCAGTGAGTCCCCAGAGCTCCTATTTGCTTGCTCTGCTTGCAGGACTGTGATGAATCATTTAAAATATACATAGGAACTAGTGAATAGCAGTAGTTCTAAATTAACACTTCTGAAGATCATTTTCTAAGATTGCATACATCAGTAATGTTAGGTTAAGAATAACTCTCTAATGATTTTCCTTGCAGATTTGAGACTTTTACCATAAACAAATAACTGTACTATATAATACCTTTTTTTTTAAACTTAGTCACATTTTATTTCTACAGTGTATTTGTCCCTAGAAGAACATTTGCATGGCTTAATATTACAAATCAACATCTGCAGCTGTAACACGTTGAGTCCCTCAGTAGCATTTAGCAGTCTATACAGCAGGTTTTTTGCACAGTTTAAATGTGATTTACTTTTAATGATGTTTTACTTCAGCCTTTCCCAGGCACAATGAAATTTTACTTCCACAATTTTACTTTTATTCTGTGTTTTTGCATGTGTGGCAGATTCAGATCTAGAGGCATGATGCTGTGTATAACATAGATTTTTTTTCCTTGTTTCCCAGCTGATAAAGAACATTTGCATTCCAAGAGTTCCCTTGTTACTACTCAGACATGGGTGAATACTGAAAAGTGAGTACTCAGAGATATGTATTACAGTAAAACCATGAATTCACCTCAGTGGTATTTATGACCTTTTGTATTTATTTTCAGAAAACATGTGAGTATTTTTTTAGCCAAAATGCTTGAGGAAAACAAGA